AATTATTATTAATAAAAACAATATTTCTCAGAGTGCAGGTATGGCCTACAATCTATAGTTTACCTTGAAATAATCACTTTTTGTGAATGTACATGCCATCACTATCCCAGTTCCCAAAAATAATCCCAATATATTCCTTTTATTACAGAATGTTAGTATGTCACAGTCAGGATAGACTTTTATGTTCTATAGTTTTGTCCCTTTTCAATCAGACAGAAAGAATCACAGCTACTCCTGGATTTCTCTCTTCTCAGACATTCTTCCCAGCTCTCCAACCTGCAGTCTCTCACACAGTTTAAATAGGTCTCTTCATGGACCTATTTTAAAGTCCCTGCAACCTTTCACCACCTTCCTTTTATTCACTGTGTTTGGGGGTTGCAGGAGATACAAAAATGAGAATACCAGGAAGCAAGCTATGTCTCTGGACCAGTAGACTCCTCTAGCCAGGAGAAGGTAAAATGATGAGGCTGGAGATATGACTTAGTAGTAAACAGCAAAGCGATCTTGCAGAGGACCCAAGTTCAGTTCTCAGCACCCACATCTGGCAGCTTACTACTTCCTGGAACTCCAGCTCCAGGGAATCCAATGCCCTCCACTGGCCTCTGCAGGCACAAGCCCACACACAACCCCACACATATCCACATAATAAAAAATAAAATCTTTTAAAAAATGAAGATGGGTTTCCCAGCCGGTTGTAGGGGTGGAATAAGAGTGAGTAGTATCTCCCTCCAGCAGGACCCTTTCTGTGTGCCAGCCTGGCTTCTTTAATTCAGTCATTTTCACAGTGCGAGCAACGCTTCTGTCTGGGTCTTTCCTCAGAGCTGCAGCCGCCACCACACTGCATGTGTTACATACATCCCCATGGTAACTCGCTTAGTTAAAATGCTGGAGTTGGTATTTATGTTGGCAGACACTGACAAAAAAGAAAAGTTAGGTCTAGACTGGGTTCTTTTCAAGAGAGAAAGTGGAGAGAGAGGCAGAGCAGAACCATTGTCTCCCTGGATTTCTCTTCACAGCAATCCTGCTGTGCCCAGTTGAAGGTCAGACTCTAAAAGACACAAAAACTAGCTGAGCATCGTACATAGTTCATTTCCCTTCCACCAGCTTCTGCCTAGATTCTTCCATTTGGCACCAGAAGGAAAATCACTCCAAGACAGGGCCTCTTTCTTACTTTGGTTGCAGTCTTTGAATCACTGCATCTGAGCCAAAATTCAAGACCGAAGCAGCTAAACCTGTTGTCAGTGGCGACCTCATTTTATTGTGTGGATATATTCGTCAGCAAAACATCATCCGAAGTGACAGCCCAGGGTAAAGTAAATGGTTTTCCCATCTTGAAAATAAATGTTTACCCAAAATTTCTGATAAGGAAATTTACCTCCTTCCAGTAATTGGGGGAGAGCGCTAAGCCACCCTCACTGATAAAGACATAAAGTACTCACTGCCAGTGTTCATGTGCCCCTCTGAATCAACCGTGCATCTGATGGGAAAGGCCTCATCAGAACAGATTTCATGGAAGACAAATAAAACACAAAGGAGACCTGATTTAGTAATGGGATTAGTCTTTGTAATCTAATATGTATGTAGAATTGACTGTTACTCCTTTGTGGTAGAGCGTGCCCTATATTAGCTTTCTATGGCTCTGTAGCAGATTACCACAAATTTAGCAGCTTAAAACCACACAGGTTTATTATCTTGCAGTTTCCGTTAGCCTTGGGTTTAAGCATAGCTCAGCTAGGTCCTCAGCAAAGCTGTGGCCAAGATGTCTGCAGCAGCTGTGCCTACACATGCAGCTGGCAGAATTCAGTTCCCTGTGATCATAGGACATGGAGAGCTTTGGTTCCTGGGGGCTGCCTGTCTGTAGAAGCATTGACAACTAGACTGCTTGCTTTCTTCCTCATGGCCCCCAAGAGAAACTCTACTTACTAAAGCTTTAACCTAATCACAAGGATGAATCTGATTGTGGTCACCATCAGAATCATTTCACAGGGGGAAGGTATTATGCTCACGAGGTTCAGGGACCTTAGAATCCTGCCCACTGTACTTCTCAGCTAAACCCTTGACCCAGATTCTTCCTACTCAGATTGTATCCTTTCTCTTTTCCTTACATTAACAAAAGTGTGTCAGGAAAGTTGAACTTAAAAAGCCGATTTATACGTTAATCATCTTGTGCTATGTACCAGGCATTGTGCTGCCATCTTGGTAAGTTTGTTCAGTGCAGCAAATAGTGTTTCCCTTAAAGAGAGTAAGAGACAGAGAACTTTTAAAGCCTCGAAGTGATTTTGAAGCAAACTTTCCAATGATCTTCCTGTAGAGCTTTGTGGAAGTTAGCAATAGTAATGCAAACAGGTGCGTACAGGTAGGCTTTTGAGATTTGTCCTGAATTATCAGAGGACTGAAAGCAAAGGAAAAGACATCCAGTAGGCTGTAGGCAAAATGACACTATATTCAGACTTATTTATGTATCTAACTGGGCTCCTGGTGTGGGCCAGATGGTGGTTTAGCTACCTGAATAATAAAGATAACAAAAATATGTAAATTGGATCCTGCCTTCACATAGCTCACGATCTCATGGAACAGACATTCTTACACATAATCGTAGAACTGCATGTTACACCTGAGACCATCTACCAAATCTATCAAAGGGAAAAAGATCCAGGAGACGAAAGACATCACTGAATTTCAGAAGAGTGGATGTTTGTGAAGTAGACGGAATAGTATGAGCAAAGTCAAACAATCTCGTTTGGCTTTAGCAATACTTACCTAAGTGCTTTCTGTGTGTTAGACACAGTTTCAAGTATAAGTGAGACATGGCTCCTCCCCTGGAGGAATTTGCTTTCGAATTGAAGAGACGTGTGTAAACTTGTGGAAAATACTGTGGGAGAGAAACATTCAGGGCAGTGTGAAGAGAAGAGAAACATGAGAGTCGCCAGAGTCTTTGCTTAATAAAGGAGTGTATCAGATGTGGCTGACCAAAACACTGAACAGTATATGTAGAAATGTGGGAAATGAGGCCTGAGGAGTGGAATAAACACACTAAAAACCTGAGCAGTACCCGGAGAAAAGTCGAATCTCTCCTTTTAAGCTGCAGAAACCCTCAGGTGTTTAGGGAAGGATTATGGGAAAATATTACTTAAGTTCTATAATTCCCCTGGATTCAAATTCTGGTTACAACCTAGAACACCATCTCTGTGATCCAGGTCAAGGGACTTATCCTTCCAAAGATTCAGGTTTTAGACATCAATATATAATGGGTGATCTAGGTATCTATATATGAATTCCTATGTTTATATTATATCACATATATATATATTATTTTCATTGGGTCTATCCATAATAAATATATGATATAATATATAAATACAAATTGTATGTATTATATATAACTACATAAAATATATAAATATATAACAAATTGTATATTTAGATATGTAATATGGCATGCAAATATGTTTATGTATATAAATGTATGATATAATATATAAATATATACTTCTATATTATTCCATTTTATAGTTCCTAGTGGCATAGGTAGAGAGAGCCATGGTTTAGGTAGGTTAATATTGTGATTTTGCCGAGAATGAGTTCAGCTGAAAGAGACTGAAGTGAACCACTGTTGATCCCTGTGCTTTCCAGACTGGGTTAACAAAGCCAGAATATGAAATACCATCCCCATTTTATGGAGTAACCAGAGAGCTGTTCTTGCTTAAAGATTAATATTGATATCCTACAGAGTAGAAGAAAACAGGGTTTCCTGGTCATCCCCTGCTTCTGTGATGTCCTGAATTGGGCTCCCTTCCATGATGGCTGCTTGAGCATGACTTCTGGAAAGCATCAATCTAATAATGCACTGTCTAGTTTGGTCATTTGACTCTAAATTCAAATTTATTAAAATATAAAATTAGACCCGGGCGTGGTGGTACATGTCTTTAATCCCAGCACATGGGAGGAAGAGGGAAGGGAATCTCTGTAAGTTCAAGGCCAGCTTGGTCTGCATAGCAAGTTCAGGCCTGCTGGGGCTACAGAGAGACCCTTTCTCAAAATTTTATATATAATATAAATTAGAATATTATTTTAAAAATTAATTCTGTCATCCCACTAGCCACATATCAGCCACATGGAGCCACAGGTTACAGCAGCTACTGTATTGGACAGCACACACATAGAACATTCCCTTATCACACATACAGAACCTACCACCACAGTCAGCAGCGTGGTACACACTGGCTCATCGAAACCATTCAGAAATACTGGTAGCACCAGAAGTGGGACAAAGGAAAGATGTGCAAAGACAGAACTGGCAGACCTTGCTCTGGGGCCCTTCATCAGATGACGGTGAGAAAGAAGAAAGTTGAGAGTTACTCCCAGGTTCTCGCACAGCTTAAGCACTCGTATATTTAAAGAACGAATGAACGAATGAATGAATAAGCAACAGCAATGAACTGTTTCTATGATAAGGTCATTCACTAATATGAGTATCAAAGAAGATGGAGCTGGTTTAGGTGAAAGGTGATCATGGTTTTAGAAATAGTTTGTTGGAAGCTGCCTAGAGGATGCTGTGATGGAGGACAGAAGCCCTTAAGAGAGGGAGCAGGAGGAGGGGCAATACATTTCACAATGAGTAATGTAAGTCTATACTTCTCATTGCCATTGGCACCTTTAGAAAAATAATCTCCCAGGGCCATAACCAGACAAGTCTCTGTCTTTAAAATTCTGCATTTGTCTACTAATAGTCAAATGGCATCTATATTTCTTACATTAAAAATGAAGATCCTTAAAGATCAATGTTTCTGATGGGCTTGAGATCCCAAATGTTAACTCACCAAGCTGGTCACATTTCAAACTAAAGCTGTGTCTCCGTTAGCTCAAGCAGACTTTGGTTATTTTTACTACATTTCCTGAAACTAGAAAAACCCTGATCATGGGATTTCAGAAACAGATTAAGACAGCTATAGAAAGAAGTGATAAGCGAGTCCATCCGAGTAAGTGAGACCACCAAGTAAGATCGCACATCATGACACAGAGAGCGGGGAACAGCTGTCTGCACCAGCCCCATGCCACCAACACATTCCAGAGAGGTTTCCTTTGAGTTCGGTTGGAAGATTCCCAAAAAATACACTGTAATGCTAATGCAAACAATGGGGTGAAGGATCAGAGGCTCTCCCAATTGCAAGCACCTTTGGGGTCTATAGGTAAAACAGACAGAGGTTCTCTAAACTCAAGCCTGGAGACCATGCTAACCATTTGGCTATCCTCCCCAAATTTTTGTCATGCAAGAGTTTTCTGTACATGCCTACATTTTCTTTGTGCTTATAAATCTAATCTGTCCAATTTCTGATGCTGGATGACCCAGAAACCCAGCATGATTTGGAAGAGTGGCTTGGGCTTGGCATAATCTGGACAGATGTGGTTGATACCTGTGGACAGATGGTGTTCATCCGGTAAAATCAGGCACTTTATTGTGTTAATTAATCCAAGCGGGACCCTGAAAATACAATATTAGCTGAATTTCCTGTCTAGCAAGGCCACCAGTGCTTTCGGATGGCTAAATTGGGAAATTCTATATCCTGGCATAACCCGAGATGTTCTAGAAATCTTTCCCATAAGGAAAAGCTTTTGATAAAAGCAAGAAAGTAAAAGTGTTAATAGAATGAATTTAAAAATGAAGGCTTCACCACTTCAAGGAGGGCCAACCAGATCTGCAAAGATCCCAGAGCCCTCTAAGAGACTCCCCCAACTACCCACAGGCCTTAGCTGTGAGGATGCAATAAAGTGATTCTCACTTGAAATTAGTTCAATTAGCACTTTTTTGTAAAAGGCAGAAAAATGCTTTTATTAAAAAAATGGTCTTCTTCCCTTTGGCAACCTGTGTATGAGAAAGATTTCTGTGAGCTTTTGTTTTACCATTTAGCAGCTGTTCTTGCTAAAGAAATGCCATTTCTCTCTTTTTGAGGGAGGTCAAGCAGTCAGGGGGTTAATTTCAGTCACTTTCCTGCCCTCTTCCCCAGATGGCTTTTTAAAATGTTGGATGCATTTGCATGAGGATAGAATAGAGAGAAAATGATAACTTATTTTTAACTTGGGGCTGCAGAGTCTCTGTGTAATTGCCAGGAGGCAATTTGTATAGAAGGAAGAGACTGGGTTTGCAGCCAGGCAGACCTGAACTAGTATCTCAGCTCCACAGCTCATTGGCTGAGTAACCTTTGCACTCAGTTCTTCATCTGTGAATTGGAATAGCCACATCTGCCCCACTGGGGGAAAAGTGGATGACTTGAATTCATTGCTGTGAAGGTAAGGCCTGGAATGCAACCCCTGAGTCCTGGCATTTGTCTGGTACCAGATACTGTACTGACTGCGTTCTGTGTGTGGTCCTTTTTCTCTGAGCTCAGTTGAAGAAGCTGATGTTTAGGGAGGCAGCACAATCACCCAGCTGGTATTCAGCTGGTCTAGGGTTCAGAATCTTCTCACTTTGAACACTTGATTCCCCTCTCCAGTGTACACTGGAAAGATAATTTTAGCGGTTTGGGAACTTAGCAGTTCACAAATTTCCTCTAACTCACCTTTAGCTTAAGCTCTCTGTCTTTGTCCTGTTTATTCCATGTGAGCCTCTTTGTCATTATTTTCCTTTCTCTTTATGAAGGCGGAAGAGACGGAATTTCAACAAGCAAGCCACAGAAATTCTGAATGAATATTTCTATTCCCATCTCAGCAACCCTTACCCCAGTGAGGAAGCCAAAGAGGAGTTAGCAAAGAAGTGTGGCATCACAGTCTCCCAGGTGAGGAGCCCCTCAAAAGGCCTAGCTTGTAGTCTGGCCACAGCGGGGCCTCATGGCAGGGTCTTGCAAGCCTTTATTGGATATTTGTGCCTTGTGAGCTCCATCAGTTAAAGCTTTTAACATGGCAAGGTAAGCTCTTACTATGTGTAAGATCGTTTCCAGGTAAGTCACTCAAAAAAATCTGAATGAAATCAACCAAAGGAAGTGAAGAATTGGAATACAGCATGGAAACAGAGGTGGGGCCCATTGGTACTCGCTTGCTTTGGATGGATATTTCTTACTTGCAAGGCTACCTGTGTCTTCCCTGCTGTGTCTTCCAACTCAGCCAGGTCCTTAGCACTTTTTCCCCAACCCAGGAACCCTCAGAGTCAGTGAATAAGACTACTCACGATAGCCTTCAAATAAAAGAGACATAAATGCCTTCTCTTGATGTTCTGACTCTGTTAACTGGTGGAGGGAAGGAACTTGAGCATGCTACTGTGGTTACATTGGAATGGCTTCCCAAAATGTCCTGGCATGCCCCCTTCCTCCAGCATGTAGGAACTGGAAGGAGGCAACTGACTTGGAAAGATACGTGGTATAAAAAGTTATAGACGTGCTGTCTCAAATACTAATATAGGAAGTGTTATTGGACTTTTGTGCCAGATAAAAAGATTTAAAAGTATATACTCTTAGGTTTGAGAAATAGAGGCAGTTTTAATATATCATATGATACAACCAGCCATGGTAAATGGTTCAACTAAAACCCTAAAAAGTAAGCGAGTAAGCATTAATCCCCAAGAATCACACACACACACACACACACACACACACACACACACACACACACACACATACACACTTTGTCCACTCAAAATATCTGTACAAATTTCTGCTCACACCAAACCCAGATATCAACCCTGGCGCCTAGTCACAAACAGTGGTGGTAATTCAGAGATTGGTCAGAGAATGCTTCTGTTAGAATTACATCACCTGCAAGAGAACTAAACACACTTGAAGGAAAGAGTCATGGAGAAGAAGTGCCCCTCTTGGGAGAAATGCTACTTGGAATTTTTCCAAGGAAACAGCTTTTTTTTTTTTTTTTTTTTTTTTTTTAAACACTTAAATGGAAATATTTGGTTTAAAATATGCTACTCAGAATTACAGTAAATAGGTGATCCCTCTTTTTTATTTAAACTCTATAAGACATAAAATTAAAAGAGGTTTTAACGTTTAAAAAAGATCTCCACTTCGTTGTTAAAGACCCCAATTCTATCCAAAGGAAACAGCTTTTTATATAAACTAGGCATCTGTATTTTCCTGAATTGACTCCCTACAAGGGGCTGATCCCATCAACCTGTGTTTAGCTAAGCAAAACTGCAAACTAAGTTCAGTCAGGATATCGAGCTTCATCTAAGGTATTTCTAATAAAAGGATTAGCAGCACCCTCCCTGCTCTGTGTGTGTGTGTGTGTGTGTGTGTGTGTGTGTGTGTGTATACCCCCCTATATACAGTGCTGTCAGGGATCTCTTAAATCTCTCTCCATTTTGGTAAGATATATTTGATAAGATTTCTTTGGCAAGATTTCTTGGAAACATCCACTTTGGTAAGATACAGAACTTCACCATTTCCAATTGAATTAGTCGCACCTCCCACCCCTCAGCCACAACACCCACACAGGCTGTTGGGGATTTTGCATGAGTGACTCTCCTTGGAAACATCTATTTGGTAAGGCAGTGAATATAGGCCTTTTTAACCTTGGTCTTCTGTGGTTCTTTGACATAGCTAAAACTTATTTCCAGTCAACAATGAAAGGAAAACTCAAATAGCCTAGCCTGGTGGTTTTGTGTTTAGACTTTTTTCTAAACCCCTTTTATCTGACCCCTTGTTTAGAAAAGAAAGAGGAAGGGAGAGAAATGATGCTCCTTTTCTGCTAGCTCCATATCTGAGCCTAGTGTTTTAGGCAGGACCATACCACCAGCTCACATATTGGTGGGCTTCAGTTATGGAATCCTATACTTCCAAGGTAGAATTAAACTAGTCTATGGACTGAATCCCAAATTTACAGTTCAAACTTTCAAATTCATTTGGAAGTGACAGCCAAACAAAGAAAATAAACAGAAATCTCTTCTGGAGCCAATCAAGATCGTAACAAAATGGGAGATTCAGGCCTGCTCCAGCAACCTTTACCTCTTGCCTCATAGAAACTCGGGGTGCACATATTTTGTTCACTAAAGTGACTGTTTACATGCTGTATCACCTTTCTCCATCTTCCAGCTATCCCAAGTCCATGCCATCATTCCCTCCTCAGCACATCTCACATACACACATACACACACACACACACACACACACACACACCCACACACACACACCACGATATGATTCATAGACTAGTAGGATGGGAGCTTGTTTTTGACAAGCGTCAACTATGGGATTCTAGGAAATTCATCCTTACTTTTGAGGCATCTTATTTGTACCATCTGTCAATCGCAGTTGGTTGGATCATATGATATAATATTAAAGCTGACTATGTTTCTCAAATCTAGGGGAGAAAACTTTTTTCTTTTACATTTTATAGGGTCCAGCTCAATAACCACCCATTCTTCTTAAAATCCTGTTCACAGGATCCATGCGAATGTCCTTGATTTCCCCAATCCTCTTCTCTCTGGGTTTTCCTCTCTTCCCCTAGGTCATCCCTGCTCAGCCTTTTTAACTCTATTTACTCTGCCTCCCCCACAGCTATTTTCCTTCTTTCCTTCCTTCCATAAGTATACACTCTAGTCTCAGTGGACTTTATTCTCTTTTAGTCATAGATTCTTGAGAAATCTGCTAAAAAAAAACTATTGGCTTTTTCCCTAACCCTAAAGAAAAACATGCTCATACACCTACATCCATCTGAAAGGCATCTAGTGACTATCTTTTCCCTATGTCCCCAAAGAGCCCTTCTTCTATCTATGTTCTACTCAAAGTGTGGTCCTCAGAAAGCAACAGCAGCATTCACATCACCTGGGACCTACAAGAAAGTCAACTTCTTGAGTTTTCTATCATCCCTGTCTCAGAATCTGTGAGAATGGGGCCTAGAATCGCTTCCACAAGCCATCTGTGAACACTTAACTCTGAAAAGCACCATCCTACACACTCATAGCTACAAATGTCCCTCCATTTGAATATCCAGATGGGGCTTCCATCCTAAACTCATGTATCTTACTTCCCACTGGATTTTGCCATGGCTCTGCCCATAATCTCTTGAAACATAACATGTTTAAGATGTGAATCAAACACTCCCTACAAAAACCCATTTTTCTTCCTGTACTGCCTGACACATGCTGTCTCATCCATATGCATCCCTACTACTTAACACACGTTAGGTCTTTAGTCCATAACAATTAAGTGTTCATTAGCAGTGACTCTATATTTAATGTTAGATGCACTGTACCACCAAGCAGACATTGTAGGAAATGCCTAAGCTGACCTAACATCTTCCTGACCAGTTTTCTTCTCATCTAGACAGGAAGTCATTCTCTGAACACATCCCCCATCCATCCCCTTCCTTCTTGCTGTTTTCCACATACAGTTCATACAACTGGGCTTGGGTCATTTCCTTTCTTCCTTGAAAGTCCTCCTAAATTACCTTCATCTTTTCTCTCTTTTTTCCCCCTCTGAAAAATGTCCCTACCCTTTCCCTCTCTCTCTGTTCCACCTACAAATCAAAAGGCAATAATAATTATGATTGATTCGTACAAACAGTGAAACTTACATCAAGAAAAATTTGAATTTCAAAGTATAGTTAGATGTGACATGGTCCTCAGATATACCCAGAAGTATCCTTCCTCCTCCAATTTAACTCTGTTTTCCTGCATTTGCATTAAATAAAGCATTTTGTTATTGAATTTTTCTCTCTTGTCTATTAATACTGCACTGGTACAGTTTGATTTTTATAACAAAGACTTAGCATTTCTGCTGTATTCTAAGCCACCATAGGCCTTGGAGGGCTAGCTAGCACTTAAAAATTAAGTGTAGTTCTGCAAGAATTTTTTTAGCTGGCATTGTTGGGGGGCTAAATATGAATTATATATGAGGTATGTTACATGTGTGATCAATTTCTCCTTCCCTCACCAAATTCATAGGTTATTTTGTAATTAAATAAAAACCACAGTACTGTAGTTCCAAATCACATCTGGAATATGGGGTATTATTAAACTTTCCTCCCTGAAGCAGGACTTGTAAACTTGTGTCTCCTCTTCTGTCTGGTAAAAGTCTTTGAATAAAGGGAGAAGAAATACCAAATCAAACCATGACAGCTGCTGTAAGCCACATGAAGAAAATAAATTCACAAATGAAAGTAAATTAGGTTTATTGTATTCATTGGCTTAACATTTAAAGGCTGGAATTCAAAGGAATAATTAGTTGTGTGCGTCAAGTTTTTTTTTTTTTTTCCTTATGTGGATAAGACCAAGCTTTGTACAAGATATTCATTGAAATCTATTAGATTAAATCATATCGATCTGGAGATCTGAAGCCCAATATAGCTATGAATCGAAGTTCATATTAAAGTTATTTAGATTCTCAAAATTTGAAATTAACCTATATATGCAAACATCCATATGTTGATACGGGTTTATGTGGCTATTTAAAGGTTCATGTATTCTGATTGTGTGAGGTCAGTTTTAGCATTGATTTACAAAGAACAAGCATTTCTCCTAATATGTGTATATAAGTGTCATAAACTAAGAAATAAGTAAATTTAAAATACATGCCCCAAATTAAGAGTCCTAGCTTAAGTGAGTCAGTCCTCCATAAGAAAACTTTTATCCCAGTGCCTTGCTAAATTTTAGTTCTAGTAAGAGAATCTCATTTTATGTGGTTGGTTTTTTTGACTCTCTTACATCAGCTCTTTGCATTAACATTGCAAGACTCGGGCCTAGACTAAGACTTCTCTGTCCCTACTGCATTATTCCTTCATAAGCCTGTTTTTTTTTTTTTCTGTCACATTTTCTGAGTGATGAAATTGTAACTTGCTCATCTTCTCTTATGCTGCTTTAGGTATCAAACTGGTTTGGAAATAAGCGAATCCGGTACAAGAAGAACATAGGTAAATTTCAAGAAGAAGCCAATATTTATGCTGCCAAAACGGCTGTCACTGCCACCAATGTGTCAGCCCATGGAAGCCAAGCTAACTCACCCTCCACTCCCAACTCAGCGGGTTAGTTTCTTCTTTGATTTGGGGGGATTGTTCTCCATTTGTACATTCGTTTTTCCTACATTGGGACTTTGTTTTAATTCTTAAAGTTTTTGATTGGTTGATTTTTGTATCTAATTATCCCTTGCTATCAAGTGGAACTTTGTGATTTTTTTTTCCCCTTTCATATCCAAAAAGTAATACATTCATAAGATGTGAATGTCTGGAGGTTTACATGATTGCATCTATTTAACTTAAAACAGGGGTGTGTTGTTTGGTTTTGATGAGACCTTTAAATACAGAGGTTCCAGTGTTCAACATGATGCTTAGAGGTACTTCCTTGGGGTTCTCATGTAACAGTCTCATTCTCATTTATCTTGCTGTCCCCACAACGTAATGTCTGGGTCATAGGCTAGCATGCATCCTGTGCAGATGTAGTGCATTCTATTAAAGATCTCATTAACAAATTCTAGTCTGCAAAGCCAGGCTATAATCTTTTCTATATATTGTTCACTGATATTATTCTGTTTTGTTTTCTTTTGTTAGTTTTCTTTGTGTAAACTACCAGGTGTTCATTCAGACTGTTCACATTCCAGTTTTCAGGTTGTGACATCAATCACGTGCTATGGCTCTAGGTGTCATTTTAGTGCATATGTGCTTTGTGCCATTAATTTCAGAGTTGAGGCTAATGTGTTAAAACATTTCAGGGGATGGCTTGTACCATCAGTTCTGAAATTCCACCATGCTAAAAAAATGTTAGTAATGCATAAGGTATAATGTTAGTTTGTATACTATTGGTTGGTTTTATTGAG